AAGAGTCGATCATGTCTGGTTGCCTTTAAGAAAAGAAAAAAAGATATGCTATGCTACTATCACATTGGCTTATACTAACAGACAAGGAAAGCTACCTATACAGAACCCGTCCTTTCCCGCGCGATGCCTGGCGCCGGCGCTGGATTGCACTTCCGCAAAAGACAAAAAACAAAAGCTGAACATGCCCCTTCCCTTCCCATGCAACCGAATAATGCTGATAAACGCGCCAGAAGATTTCCTGCTACCCAAAATCCCAAAGGTCGCACAAATACAAAGTTTTCAAACACAATCTTGCCCTTACTCCATCCACGCTGAATCTTTGAAGCCCGTGTTTCTTCAAGCAAGAACATACCCCCTCACGCTCCCCTCCCTCCTCACCATCCCCATCCCAAGATGAACCCCATGAACCATCATCCCATTCATACTCTCCTCGCTCCCCCTCCTATTCACCGTCACCATCTTCATATTCGCATGGCTCTGACTCCCCCTCCTGCTCCGTCTCCCTCTCCCCTTCGGGTGGTTTCCCAGATTAGGCAAGTGTATCTTCCTTTCCGGATCCAACGGCAGCAGCTGTTTGAAAATCGGCTGGCTGGTCCCCACCCCGTTGTTCTTCTTTTGGAGGCTTTCCTCTATCAATTGATGCAGTCTCTTTGTCGTCAGAACAGTCTTGTTGGCGCCCTGCGCAGCGTTGTCATCCAGGATGTTGCACAAGGTTGCGGTCATGTCGTCGGACGTCGAGGACTCGAAGCCGCAGGCGGCAAAGAGGTGTTTGGTGTAGGTGTTGGACTGGGGGATGGAAGAGGAAGGGAGGTTGGCTCCGCCGGCGGCGCAGCAGTCTAGGATGAAGAGGACGTCCGAGGGGCAGGTGAGGAGGGGTTGGCGGAGGGTGGACCAGGGGAGGTGCGATATAGGGCGGTAGCGCTCGCTGTGAAAAGGTGTGATTGTTAGCGACACTGACAAGCAACAGCAGGTGAATCAAGGGAACGTACTACTTCTTCATCAAGGCTTCAAATGCCGCCTTGTTCTGCCCGTGTCCTCCGTTCTGGCGAGATAGCAGCTCAGAGTACAAGTCAGCAGCTGCTTTCTTGGCCCACTCGGAGTTTTCCGGGTGGTCGTGGCTGCTAAAGACGAGTTCATTGTCCTCATCAAGGGAACCATGGCCGTGGTAGTACACCACCAACAAGACATCGTCCGAGGCCAGCTGACAGAACTTGTTGAGTCTGGCGGTGGTGCTTTCGACGGGCCGGTTCATGTCGATATGGTGCTCGGAGACTTGCCAGCCGTAGTTCTTGAGGGTTTTGATCAAGCGCTCGCTCTCGTCTTCGAGGGAGATGTAATCAGCTGCTGGCGGGGCCATGTAATCCTCTGCTCGGAGGTCATGAAAGGACCAGGTGAGAATAAGGCAGTGGACCTCTTTGTATTGTTGTCTTGGAGCATGATTGTTAGTGACCGGATTATGAACAAAAACCAACAGGGAATAACTTACCCGGTGGGTGGGAGTCGTTCACGGACACCGTCATCGGTCTCCGCCACGCGACTGGAAGATTCGCTTCTTTTCCTTGCAGTCCCCGTCACTTTACGTCTGGTGCGGTTTGTGTTGGGTTCGGTCAAGGCGGATGTGCTCGCGAGACCCATCCGTTGAAGGCCCATCCGGAGGTCGTTTTTTTCAGGGAAATGATGGAGATTATCAACGGAAACGTATCCGCCGAAATGTTGGGGGCGATACTCTCGACTCCCGTTCTGCCCAGCGCTGCCATGATGTCCATACCGAGAATACTCTTGCACGTACGGCTCGTGAGTCGGCGGTGACCGTGACACAGGCCGCGAAGTTGTCAGAGGCCAACCTGCTTCTGCAAGGGCAACGCGGGGAGAGGAATGACTGGCGACATCATGCTGATACCAAGGTTGTGGTTGTGACGAGCGAGGGTGGTGCTTTTTTGACGGGGCATGGTGGTTGTGGTGTTTGTTGTCCTTGCGATGGCGATGCTCACTTGTCCTGATGGGAGGAAAACCCCCTATCCCAAAGAACTCAGGGGAGGAACTGACGCTGCTTGATGGTGAGGTTCGTGATATGGAAAGAGATCTGGACCTGGCATGGCGATATCCCGACGACGGCGGTGGTATCAAGACGGCAGAGTGCAGTTGTGATGTCCTGTCCCACCTCGACTTCAGATTTGCCGTGCCCCTGTCTTCAAAATAACCACCTTTTTCAAAATCCCTGTGTCGCTGACGGGGTGTCCTTGGGGTGTCTACTTCATCATAATCCCAGCCCTTTTCCCGGTATCCAGAGCCGATGACGGTAGCTGCAGTCGGCATTCCAATCATGGACCTGCCAGTCACGGATCGGCGCGATACTGGGCGCGGATTGGGAGGGGTGGTGGAAGGTGTTGGCGAGAATCCTCTCCTCCTGCTGCTCTTGCTCTTGCTCCTGCTCCTGCTCCTGCTCCTGCTCCCGCTGTCGGAGTGATCGGCGTGGTCACGATGAGGTGGGGTGAATGAGACGAGGGAACCTGGTGGTGAGGGGGCGGGGGCGGGGATGGGGATGTCAACTGGGACTGGGGGGAGAGCGGCGCCAGGGATGGAGATGGGATCCCAGCCGTATTCGTAGGGCTCTTGATCTCGGCCGCCTTCACGGTAGTGACGGTGGTGCCTCGTCATGTTCCTGTGCTGTTTTTGCTGGATGTTGAGGCGACGCGACGTGCGGTGAAGGGGACGAGGTGTCGTTGAAGATGAGATGAGACACAAGCAAAAGCTGTGCCGCCTCGGGACACTCAGCCCGACAGTCTAGGTAGGTGGAAGCGACAGGGGTGTGTGTTCAGGTCAGTGCAGAAGAGCATCAGCAAAAAGAAGGGCGGGGCGCAGGTTGGAGAGAGATGCAGGGCAGATGGAGCAAACGGCAGAAGCTGAGGAAGAAATCCAGGGCGACATCATGCATGTGGGAGACTGCACGTTTGGTGGCCTCCTCTCGTCGGGGGGGCTGATGACTGCATTATCCTCTGGGCGCTGGCTTATGGAACCTGGATGTGCTGAAATCTCAGGCCTCACCTCGGGAGGGAGGGACTCCAACATGGCGACAGGGGGAACACGGGCACGCGGGCAAGCTTTGCCGCACCTGCGTCGGCCTGCATCTCAAATTCCTGCCCAATCGTTGCAAGCTCTTGGGCACACAGGGCGACCATAAACCCGGCCTTCACGGAAGTCCCCACAGCGAGTGACATCGTGACACATCGCGGCAGAGTGTGAGGCAATCCCTAAGAGATATCAAGTTTAGTAGATTCCTATTGCCATCCATACGTACATACGTGTTGTTCACGGCGCCATTCTCGTGTTCCCAAGAGACCTTGCCACTGCGCTGTCTTGTGTTGATATGGCCGGGTAGAACCCTAACCCTCACCATGACAGATGATCCGTCACCCATTTCCTTCCCCCCATCTTCCATCTTCCATCTTCCAACCTATCTAGAGTTTTTGCGTTTCTCTGTGCTTGCTCGGGCCAATCGCGAACGAAGACCAGGTTCCCAGGCGGCACCACGTGGAGGTCCAGAGTCCGTCTTCGCCGCCCTCCCACCTATCTTACACACCCCCAAACAACACCTGATATCGTACAAGCACCCCCAAACAACACCTAATATCGTACAAAACACCCCCAAACAACACCTAATATCGTACAAAACAACCCCCCAAAAAAGCATGCCGTTGTCCAGGATATTATCCAAAAGAATTACATAGCCCAAGAGTCGAAGACAATCCAATGAAGAACCAATAACGCTGCGCCGTAGACAACGCCCATCATCATGAATCGTCCAAATATCCAAAAAAGAAATTCGTACAAAACACTAGAGTCGTCGCCTAAGCGTTACCGCGGACCTGGGCCTCCAACAACTCGACGTTATCGAGCGTCCAAGCCGGTCCATATTCATCGGAGTCTTGCGACCCAGCCTCCACCGGAACCACCAAGCTGTCCATCAGCTCGATGTTATCGAGCGTCCAGTCAGCCCCGTAGTCCGACTCTTGGCTCAGCGGTGCCATGCTATCCCCATTTCGCGTCCCGCCGTGCTGTGACGTGAAGAGTTCGGTGGTAGCAGCCGCCTGCTGAGCAAACAGCCGCTCCTCCTCCCTCGAACGCTCCATGAAGTTCTGAAGACGCCGCTGCCGCTCGCGCTCCAGCGCCGCCTGCTTTCGCCGTTCTTCCTCTGCTTCCTCCTCGGCTTGGAGCTCTGCAGCCCTAGCCGTAAGGATAGCGATCCCGTTCCCGCTGGATCCAAAGAGCCGTTGGGGTGACCGAGACCGCTTGGGAGGTTCTGGCTCGCAAGGTGGCGGGTTGAGAGGCTGGGGCTGCCCAACCTCCTCGTCCGCAGAGTTGAAGGACGACGTGAAGAACTGACTGTACGTAAAACCGTCCAGCGTATCTCCTGTCTGTCTTTCAACTCGCGCGGACGGCTCCCCAATCGGTTCCGAACTGATCTGATCAGCCATCGCCCGGTTGGGCAATGAAACCCTCCCCGTGGGCACACGCGGGGAACTGTCATTGATAGGGTCGCTGACGACGTCCGGTTGTTTCTGTCCATCTTGCACCAAAATCGGCTCATCGTCCTCGAATTCAGGATCCCAAACCTCCTGACTCGAGAACACCAAATCTTGGGAAGTGATAGGACGAACATACCCGGTGTCGTCATCGACGACCGGGTCTGGCAGGGCGTCTAGCGGCGGTGCCAGATTTCTCTGGCTGCTCGCAAGGGCCTGCTTCAACACCGATCGGTGCAAAGGAGAGGACTTCATGAATGCCGGTGGACCTCTGCGAACCGGTGACGGCTCCGTGGTCTCCACCAGCGGCTCTTCCAACTCCCGAGCCGCCTGGGAGGCAGTCGGAAAGTCATCGATAAGAGCCTCAAGAAGCTCCTCCGGAGAGTTGGATGGGTGCAGGAAAGCTGCTGCAGGCTCGTCGCGCTGCAAGAAATCTTGCTGGCTTTGAGTCTCCCCCAAACGCTGTCTCTTGATCGAGGCCGACTCGGAAGGGCTTCCAACAGGAGTCAGATTCTCCTTGTTTTCTACCTCCATCATCGCCGGCCGATCAGCTTGGTAGGCGTCAGAGTCTCGCTTTCGCGAAACCCCGTTGCCCTTGAAAAAGGTCGAGAGGGTGGCCTGGCTCGGCCTCACGCGAACGAGAGGTAAACCCTGCCGCCTCCTCTCTTCCACCAGCTCCAAGTCCCTCTCCTTCTTCCTGTCACGGAGAACTTTGGCTCTCTTCGAGGCCTTCAGTTTCTCCTCCTCCTTCCGCTCGCGCTCTCGCTCGGCCCGTTCCCGACGTAGCCTTTCGGCTTTCGTCATTTTGGGCAGCCTATTGGCTTCCCGATAGGCCTTCTGAGCTTGCTTGGTGGTCATTGGAGGTTTGGACTCCGGACCGTCCACAGCGAGCGCTTGTTGGAAAGTGACAGGGTTGGGCACCACAACAAACGTGTTTTGTTGTAGCGGCATCTGTACATGATTGTTGTTCAGTAGATCTGTATAGAATGATATCGAATATTGTGATGATAGTGTTGATGATGATGGTGGGGATCGCGAGAAATCGTGAGAAGTTTCAGACTTGGCTTGACAACCACCAAAACAATGATCCAGGGTGACGCGACTTTGCATGTGAAGATGTTGGCGGGGTTGGTGGGGCAGGGCTGCGCCAGACGTTGACTCGCGCCTTGGCACCGGTGCGACTTTTGAACCTCAACCTTGCGATCTCGAGATGTCGGTGGGGAGAGGTGTAGGAGGTGAGGAAGAAGAGAAGAGGAGGAGGATGGATGATGGAGAGAGGGATCATGTCGGGCCCGAGGCGATGAAGAAGGGCGGGCAGTGTCGGTCGCGTTGTGGTGGGAAATGGTGAGGGCAGGGAATCTACTTACCTTGTAAATGTACGACTCTTTGCTTGTAAAAAGGTGACAGGTCGAGTGTAGCTGACGCTAACGAGCGGTGTTACTACGAGAAGATGGTCGTGGTGCTTTGCATGTGTATGCAAAGGAATCTTCTCGGTGGATGGAGAGGGAAAGGAAGCAGAGCAGCATGAAGCTGGGAAAATGGGCAGGCATATATACTTGAGTGGGAGAGCACAGACCACCAGAAGGTGAAATCGTCAACAGTGCTCCAACTGCTCTCCCAGCAGGTCGGTACGCTGTAAGTCCTCTAACACAAAAACCCCACCTTTCACGACGCGACGGGTGAATGTGGGTCTGTGCGGGCTGGGCCGCTGTGGTCCCTGCAACGACAGGGAGACCCCTTCGTCAGTGACACCACAATAACACTGGGACAACTTGGCCTACGAGCAGTGGTGAGAAGGACGAAAGCAACGCCCCAGGAACGGCAGAAGGGTCAACAGGCAGAGTTATATAGCGAGAGTAGAGTCATCAAGAGACGCACGTTGAAGCAATCAAAAAGAAGACCTTGTTTGCCCATTTACCTAGATATCTACTGGCTTCTATATACACATATGAAATGCATGTGGTCGTCCACAATCAAACCCACTCGTCCGGTTTGTTGATAATCAAAGAACCACCCCCAGCGCCAGCTTGTCACCGTGAATTCGAAGGAAACCTCTCGGGAATCCTGTGTCAGGATCTACGACCGCCCTGTCAACAGCTTCATCAACGACAAGTTGTTCCAGCTGCTCGTGCTCACCCTCCTCGACATCTCGTCTCCCCCACCCTCACCGCTCGCCAGAGCCCTCTTCCACTGCTCATATGTCTGCAGCTCACAAACACTCTTGGCCCGCTCAACCTCCTCTTCAAAAGTCGGCAACTTCCCGCTCATCCTGTTGGCATGGTTGATTTCAGCCTCCTTGACCAGATCCTGCGCTCCCTTGTTGATCTTGAGCAGGATCCAACCCACAAACCCCGGGGCAGCAGGCATCGGCTTCCCCGTCGCCCGTCTATGAGCCTCAAGCACCTCTCTCATCGTCATCGGGCCAGACGTGACGCAGAGAAACTGGTTGAAGTATGGCTCTGGGTTCTGTTTACGCGTTGTCAGCATCTTGTTTGTTTACTCAAACCATTTCAAACACGCGGGCCATCTAGAGCAACCAAACAAAACCGCGTACCTGTAGTAACCCAGCAACCACCCTCCCCAAATCCCCCGACGCAACCATCGGAAGCGTCGTCTCCTTCTTCAACCCATCCCTATACATCGTCGCCCCAATCGCCCCAAACATGCCCTCCAGGTTCTCATAAAAGAACCCCGGCCGTATCACGATCCATTTCAGCCCGGGGTTCTTCTTCCCCAAGTCCTCAATGTAGTACTCCACCTCTCTCTTCTGCTTCCTCGACTCGTCGATCCCATGGCTGGGATCTGGACCGATGGGGATCGCGCTGCTGTACACCAAAATGTTGACCCCGAACTCCACTGCCAGATCTGCAATCAGGATCCCCTGGGCTTTCTCCTTTTGGGCCGTTGATGGTGTGCCAAGTCCAGGGTAGGCGAGCACGACGAAGACGGAGTAGATGTTGGGGTGCGATTCAAACACTGTCCGGAGGGTGGAAGGTGTGTTGAGGCAGGCTTCTACAAGCGTGATTTTGGACTTGGCATTGTGTTGTTTGGCTTCTTCGAGGAGCGCCTGGGATGGTGGGGCAGAGGCGTCTCGAGTGAGGGCGAGGATGCGCCAGTTTTCAGCTTGGGATCTAGGGAAGGTTGTCGTTGTGGGTGATGATGGTGTTGACGCTGCCGAAGGGAAGAGCAAGGAGCGGATGAAAGCCCGACCTTGCTTGCCTGTTGCGCCTATCACCAGGACGGTCTTGGTTTCTGGTGTTGTTGTTGTTGATGACATGGTGATGTGGTTGTATAAAGTGTATATATAATAGAAAGAAAGAAAAAGGGAATAAGAAGAAAAGAGAAGAGGTAGCTAGCGGAGGGAAAAGACAACGGCAGCAAGGATGAGAATGAGGAGATGTCTATGTGTATTGATCAAGTAGGTAAAGTAGGGTTATGCCATCCATCATCCATCGGTAGTGAGATGGCAATGCTACGTAGCAGATCTACTGCAACATGATCAGAGCAAGTGGGATATTTGGCAGTGGTGCTTGCGAATGCGAAGCCATTGTGGGCTGTGATTGGCCGAGACACACCCCAAAAGTTCCAACATGATGTGCAGTAAAGCGGGTAATCAAAGGAACTTTGCACGGCGCCCTACCGCAGTAAGGAACTGGGGGGAACTTTGGGGGCCGCCCGCCGCAAAAACCGGAGACCCGACCCCGCGGATGTGGGTTGTTTATTGCCGAGACAAAGTTCTGCATTTGAACTTGTTCAAGAACATCATCTTCTATTTGTCGAGACACACATTCATCAGCCGCCCGCCGCATATCACAAGCCCCGCTATCCTACAGCAAAGTTCCCTCCTTTTTTTCATGACATGACCTGACATGACATGGCTTTCATCGCGAAAAATCCCCCGCGCGAAACGTTTCATCCCGTGATTGCTTCAGGAACGGCAATAGTGCAGTCCCCCCTGTCCCCGTCAGCTTCTTATCATCATCCCCCGCCAGCCTCGATGACGCCGTCGCCAAGTTACTTCCCTTGGCCTTGTTCTCCTTCCTCGACGGGATCACGATATATCGCGTCACAATCTGCAAGTGCTTATTCCTAAACTCGGCCAGCGCCTTGGTCGCCGTCGTGAACGCCTCCCTCAACTCCCTTCTCTCACCGTCGTTTCCCTCTGTGCTTGGTGTCACCAACAAATCCTCCACACCTTTCCTCAATCCTCCTGGGTACCGCCCCTCCACAAACTCAAGAAGCCTCCTGTGCGGCTCCGGCATGTACCCTCTGACCTCCCTGTGGAAACTCTCCATCTTCTTCTCCCGCGAGTACGAGTCCGGACTCGCATTACCCTGCGCGACGTGCTCAACTCCCAGCACGAGGTCAAATAGCTGGATGAGCGAGCTTTGGCCGTTGCTTCCTCCTCGGTACTGTCTCCATTCTCCCTTGCCGTCTTGTCCCTCGTCATAGAACACGCCGTTTGCCAGCCCGGCCCCGGCCATGTTCTTGCTGCCTGCTAGGAAAGGGCGGATCTGATGGTAAAACACTTCTGGGTCGCACCTTTCGTCCATCCTGTCGAGCAATATCCCCAGTTTGTGGATGCAGGAGGTGATTTCGTTGATGGCCTCGGTGGCGGCGGGAAGGTCGTGGTGTTGGAGGGCAGATAGGGCGGAGAGCATGACGGGGATGATAGGACCACCTTGGGCCTCCATGGCGACGCTGACCATGTAGAACCAGGACTCATCTTGAGTGCCGGTGAAGGTGTGGAGTGCGGTGAGGGAGTCGAGGTCAGCGAGGTCGGATGTTGGAGATACCGAAGAAAAGTTCCAGAGGTTGACCGCGGCATAGGTGGCTACTGGGGGAAGAGAGAGGTGTCTGGAAACGGAGAGGAGAGGGACAGTTATGGGTGGGGGGAGGATCTGTGAGTTGTGTCAGTTCAAAGTAAGGTGGTGCTGGTTCAAGTGAAATACCGACCTCGGAAGCAACGTCACCTCCCCAGACGTAGGCATGTGTGAGGAAGCCCAAGACAACATAGGCTCGTCTCCATTCGGCTTCTGAGGCGAGGCGGTCTGTTGATAGGACTGGCAATCTGTCTACCTCCTGGCGGAGAGTCTGTTGTTGAATGTGGGAGGAAAGAGAAGAGACAATGGTTTCCCAGGGGGCATAGTATTGATCTGGAAGCCTCGAGAGAGGTTGTTGTTCTGGAAGGAAAGCATTGGATGTGACACCAAAGTCGTCTGATAGGACGCGAGAAACATCACTGTGATTAGCCTTGGTAGCAGGCAGTGGCTCGCAGGGTGACATGGTGAGAGCGGAAGACTGGATGAAGTGAGACAAAACCCAGAAGCGGTAGTCAAGATTCAGGTGAGCGCGGAAGATGAGATGGGTGGCAAAGGGTCAGGAGTAGGGGGAACATCTCGGTAAAGAAGAAATAGAAACGGGGGCTCGATAAGATGCCCCATCGGTCAGCAAGGGGGCCAGCGGTCAACAACGGCTTTGGCAGTTGGCACTGGGCTTGGGCAGACAAACAGAAGCTGGGCCGAACCAGATGATCCGAGATCATGGTGACGTTTTACCTGTATGATGCCTCTAGCTCCGTCCGTCCTTCCGAGCACAGATTAGCGGCGTTTTTTTCTGTTTGATAACAAGATGGCAGGGCCGGTGTGCGTACAGGTGCAGAATGCTGTGCAGGTAGGAGGTGTAAGCCGCCGTCCGATGTCGTCTTGGCAGCTCTTTTGTTTGACGAATATAACACGGGCCGGGAATCCAGTCGAGTCGAGTCGGTGGTAAGGAGTAAGGCACAGTTCAATATTCAATAGACATGAGTCCGTGCAGGTGTGCAAACAAGGGTCGGATTGATGCATTGAGATGACGTTTTGTGATGGGCTTTGCCCGATTGCAGCATGTGGTTACCCCAACCAAGATTCTGCAAAACTGGTCCTGGAGTCGGTCAGCTTGGATTTCTCTGTAATTTTTCAGCCCTGTTATTGCTGTCTTTGGGACCCCTAATCGGCGTCATCGTCCGTTTGTATGGTGGAGCTGCGGAAGTGCGGAAGACGGAAAGGTGCGGAAGACGGATCGCGGAAACCCGTCTGGGGCCCACTCCGACCCGGGAGCATGGAAATGGTGACACGGCACGTGGCCTCCGAAAACGGTTTGTGGACTTGTATAAAGTGATACAGGGGATAGAAAGGGGGAGTGCGATATGGCCTCATGGAAGTCGATACAATATCTTCCCTTTCAGTTTCAGTCTTGTAGTTCTGTGTCAACAGCGGCACAATGGATTCTCTCACAGCAGCCTTCCGGAGCGGCCAGAAGCCGTCATTTCCAGCTGAAGCGGGAACTCTTGAATACGCTCAAAGTCTTGATCAGCAAGACAAGCTTGGCCACCTCAGAAAAGAATTCAATATTCCCACAAGGACTTCGTTGAAGAAGAAGGCTCTGAATGGGGTCAGTCCCGGTATGTGTTGCGCCCTCTGTGCTTGAACCAGCAGACTCTAACAACCTCGTAGGGGAAAACGACAGTGAAGATGAAAAGAGCATCTACTTTGTTGGAAACTCCCTCGGCGCTCAGCCAAAAGCTGTGAGAAGAGCCCTTGAGTCACAGCTAGAAACATGGGCCAGCATCGGTGTCAACGGTCACTTTTCAACCCTCGAAAACTCGCCTCTGTCCAGCTGGCAAGACCTGGCCGAGTCTTGTGCCAGGAAATCGGTCGACCTTGTTGGTGCTGCTGTGCCAGAAGAGATCATCTACATGAACACCCTCACCGCCAACCTCCACCTCATGATGGCCTCCTTCTACAAGCCAACAGCAGAAAGAGACAAAGTCATCATCGAGTGGAAACCCTTCCCTTCAGACTGGGTATGTCTCCTCCCTCCCATTCTTCCCTTTTCCGGACTTCTAACCCCACAAAGTACGCCATCCAATCCCAAATCCGCCACCACAACCTCTCCCCCTCCACCTCCCTCATCGAAATCCAACCCACCCCCGACCTCTACCTCACCACCGAATCCATTCTCGCCACCATAACCGAGCACGCCCCCTCCACCGCTCTCGTCCTCCTCCCCGGAATCCAGTACTACACCGGCCAGCTCCTCGACATCAAAACCATCACCGCCCACGCCCACTCCCTCGGCATCCCCTGCGTAGGCTGGGACCTCGCCCACGCGGCCGGCAATGTCCCACTCCACCTCCACGACTGGAACGTCGATTTCGCGGTGTGGTGCACCTACAAGTACATCAACGCCGGACCGGGGTCGACAGCCGGCTTGTTCCTTCACCAAAAACACCATTCCAAAAACCTGGACAGGTTGGAGGGTTGGTATGGAGCGGACAAGTCCGTTAGGTTTCTGATGGAGAAGGAGTTCAAGCCTAGCAAGGGGGCGAGCGGCTGGCAGTTGAGCAACCCGAGTGCGATTGACCTGGCGAGTGTGAGTGCTGCGTTGGGGGTGTTTGAGTCGGTGGGGGAGAGGTATATGGAGAGGTTGAGGGGTAAGGCGGTGGTGCTGACGGGGTATCTGGAATGCTTGCTGGAGGGGCTGATCAGAGGGGGGGTTGGGAGGAAGGGGGAGGAGCAGGCTTTTAGGATCATCACGCCGGGGAACCCGCTCGAGAGGGGGACTCAGTTGAGTTTGATGCTGAGGGAGGGGATATTGGAGGGTGTGAGTAAAGTGTTGGCGGAGGAGGGGGTTGTCTGCGATGCGAGGAAGCCGGATGTGATTAGAGTGGCTCCGGTGCCGATGTATTGCCGGTTTGAGGATGTGTGGAGGTTTGTGGAGATATTCAAGGGAGCGTTGGCGAGGGTGTAGACATGAATAGGCATGGAGAATCAAAAGCACGAGATAGGTTAATAGACGATTAAATAGAGTCAGACAGGCTCAAAAATAGAAGCAGGCTGGGGGGGCGTAAAGACAGCTTCTTATATAGAATATGATAATTCATGCTATTCGTTATGTGAGAAGCTCAAGAGAAGAAGAAATGGTTGTCAAAAATACATGCGTGTAACATAGGGAATTGACGTGAAGCTCTCACACCTTGTCCGTAGCTCATGTTCCAATCATTGCAGCCCGTTCAGTGAGCCCTCTCAACATCTCAGGGCACACATACCCAGCAAGGAAAGCTGCCATTATAATACTAACACCGTCAATTACTGTTGAAAGAACGGTGTTCAAAAACAGAGCAACCACAATGAATGTCACTGTGATGTTGCCGGCGTTTCTATGAACGACCAAGTCAGCATCACGCATTGCATGTAGGATGTACGGATTAAATCTCACTGTTTGAGGTATTCCTTGCCGAGCAGGAACGAGATGATGGTGTTGATAAGCCAGACAGCGATGAGGCTACCGGCCAATGTGTTGTTAGGATAGTGCATGGAATTCCAAGGTGAGGACAAAGACATGGCAATGGTTGTCAAGACCTACACAGATCGTCCCAGCTTATAAGCATGAGGACTGGGCAGTTGCTCTTGCAACGCTGACAACACCAGGTCGATAGAGAGAACAAGACCATAAACAGCTACCACTGCCTTCTTGGTAACAAGAATTCTTGACAACTGTGTTCCCTGAACCTCGACGTCATTGGTGCTCTCGTGATTCGACATTTGGATGCGGGATGGAAATTGGAATTTCGTGGAATTTGATCAGAGGGGAAATGGAAATTCAAGCCAAATTCCACGGGAGCGGGGCAGTCGAGCTTTTAATCCACAGAGTGCCAGTCATGTGATGAATCCACGGAAGATTTAATTGGTGTCCTGCAAGATTTCGGACCTTCGTCAGGTCACACAGCAGGGGACTCATGACGCGGATATGTAATTGGTGTTGCTGACAATTCCTCTTGGCAAATTCCATTTGGAGCGGGGCCCTCTTGACGAATGGAAGAGTGAAGCATGGAGCCACACTGATCACCAAATTCCGCAAAATACCATCCATCACGTTGAGCTCTTGATTGTTATTTCACCACTGCTGTAGCTTTGGACTTCCATGCCCATCATATATGTCTCGACCCAATGATTTTTTTAGGGAAGAACGGGGTCATGCAGATAGAATCCCCGAGTCTCGGTGGGAGGAACTCAAAGACCAGATAATCGCCAAATACCGAGCATCGACGATTGATGCCACAAGGAAATACATGGAAAGAGAGTACAACTTCAAGGCTAGGTAAGCGAGGTAGATAATTCATCAAATCTTCAGCGTACTTGCTAACCCGAACAGTCGTCGACAATATGTCCATCGTCTCGGGAAGAGCAAATGGAATATCAACAAGTACAAAGGGGGACAACTTTCTGCTGCTCCGTATGAAAAACCTCAACATGCCCCCTGTACACTCTTGGACGACTAACAAGTGATAGAGGCTATCAAACGTCCGCACCAAGCCCACAGGCAACTTCTCCAAGAAACGATAATGACCCCGAGGCAACATCCACTGCTCTGGCGGGGCCATCAGTCTCAAATATTACCGCCTCCAATCCTCATTCCGAACACTCTGTTTCATACCACGAGCCGAGAATGACTACTTCAAGGCATAAAGATAGTCCGAAACTCGTGAACCCTCGTGTACATGTCGGCATGCCGGAACCTGGCAGGGAGGGTGACCAGCTTCACGGAGTTGGAACGACCGTGTTCTACGCATGCCCCTTTCGAAAGCGAAATCCTCATAGGTTCAATATCAGAGATTACCAATTCTGTGCTATTGACGGATTTAATAGTATCAGTCTAGTTGTGTAAGTATTGTTGCTAGGTATGATTGCCACATTACCCACCAAAGGCTGACAGCTCTACAATAGCGACCATGTGTTACAGATGCACTCTCAGGAGCACCGCTGTCCAAGATGTCATGTCTTTTTTACCAGTCGGGGATTGCTTGAGACACATGCACAGTTACCGCCAGAAGAAATATGCCAGGTAGTTTCAGAGCGCCAGTTTAGTTTTGAAGATGGAGTGGGCTTTGAGCAGGCCTGGAGTCTCAAGGAGCACATGGCATCAGAAACAATGACGTGGCAGACTCTGTGGAATATTCTCTTTCCTGAAGACCCAAACTACAACATTCCGCCGCCGAGTATGTACTGTCCCCACACTGATTCCCTCGATGGAGACTGACCCTCTCATGTTGCAGGTTATCAGCCCGTTATTGAAGACTTTGAGATCGAACAGAGCTTTAGAGAGCACGCCGAGAAGCGGATCATCCCAATACTATCGGACCTACAAGATCTTGCGGCCAATTTATCACAGGATACAAACAAGTCTTGGATCATGGCAAAGATTGACGAGGCAATCTCCGAAACTAGGCAGTTGAGCAAGTCGAGCGAGCAAGATGCAAATTTCTGAAGGGAGGGCCTGCTGCAACTGAGAGCCTAGCATCAGACCACACAATAAATCGGTTCCGGTGTTCCTATGTGAAGAACATGTGCTCTTCGTGCTTTCAGGGAGTTGGGATGAAATTGTGTTGATTAGGGGAAATGGAGATGTATATTCGGATACCTCACACCAATGCCCTTATGTCGAGCATTTTTCGATGACCGTTGGAACCACCAGGTCCGTCGAGCTCAGGCTGGATACAACTTGCGACCACCCTTTCGGTAGTTCAAAGGGCACAGAGTCGATGGAAACGATGCATACCAAAAGACCTTGCGGCACAACAACCCCCCATTCTCGGAAACAGGTCCCGATAAAGAGGGACCAAGACCGAGGGGACATCCCCGTTCGACACTAATAATTCACGCCTCACATATGCGTCAGGGACGCAAAAATCCAAGAGAGTGATGTGTGTGTATGTGCCACAACCATGCCGTGGGCTGTTCTGGTACTGGTCAGCCTTCTGAGTTTAAAGGAACGTCTTCACCTTTGTATGATAACAAAGTGCACACACTCGACAGACCGCCTGAAAGCTCTGTTTCTCGGTGTGACAGTTGAGAAGCATTGCATATTTCGAGGTAGGTGTCTTGGGTGTCAACATCATCTCGATCAGAATGTGATTCTAGCTAGCGATTTCCTCGCAAGCCACACATCCAGGTGTCTGCAATCCTCCAAAGATGATGGCCGAGATTACCACCAATAAATACCGGCTTTCGCTGCTGCTATCAGTAAGGTATTGAGCGTGGGGGTCACTCACTCGCAAACTTCCCCATCTTTCCCAAGTCCAATTCTACTCATCGTATTCGTAGTTTGTCTACCTATCTATTCAGCTCGCACATAGTCCAGACGTGGAGCTAAACCGTTCTGATGGCTGTGCCCAAAGATTGGCGATGGGCTTGTTGTGGCGTCTCACTTTGTGCGTTGTCTGCATTGGAAGGCAGGGCACCCCGGTGGGCGAATTATGCGCATACACAAAGTACCTATCATCAGGGGAGGGTTGTTTCAGAGGGAAGTTCTTGAATGCCGTCCCGGTTCATGCACTTGGTTTGCCGCGGCCTGCGCGGGAGCAATACACTGGACACCGGCTCGCGGTGCCGCAACCGGAAGCTGTTGGGAGAGGAGGTGGAACGGAGGGGACTGGAACCGGGAATTTTGGTGGCCGAGGTAAGCAAGGACGGGGATTCACCGAGGTATGTACTCCGTAGGTTGCCCACGAAAGCCAGGATTTTGCTCAATATGTCCAAAGACCTGACTGCCCTGGCCACACTCCGATCTCGAGAACTTCTGGAAAAGACCCTGGTGATCGCAGAGGAACAACTGGACACCCTCTTGGGCTTCTGGCCCGGCCAAATCGAGAGGAAGCTGCAACCTGACAATTTCTTGAGCAGGAATGGCCTGACGGAGCAAGGTCTGCAGGCATCGAGCACAGTGTCACCTCGGTCAATATTTGACTGTAGAGCAGCGACCGGGGGACCTTTCCGGGGGTGGCTTGCTGACGTTTCCTTTGCTGAGTGGGCACGTCGCGGGATCAGCCACAGGGGTCGCTAGAGCTGTGTTCTAGCCGTTCTAGTAGCCACCTCGGAGGGAAGGGTCCGAGCGGACAGAGGCTACCGGTATCTGAAAAGTAGAATAATCACCGGGTTGCCCGTGGTTGAGAGTTGGGGAGGATTCTCCTGATAAAGCCCGGTCAAGCATTAGCTACTATTAAAGGCCACAGTGACAACCAAGTTTGAAGTATGTAACGGGTTGATGAGATATACAATAGGTAGTAGCATGGAAATTTCTGATGTTGCAGTCATGGAAACCAGAGAAAATCACCGACAACGGAGGTTGGTCAAGCATTTTTAGCCGTGCCCAGCTAAAAACGCTCCTCGGGAGAGCGGCATCTAAACTAGGGCTGCCACCACCTCACTCCAGGCGCCGGCAGAGGCGTCAGTAGCTCAACGAACTTCGCTTCGTGCGTCTTCTTCTTTTTTTCCACAAGCCATCGACATCGTGTGATATCATACCATGGGATTTCCACATCATACCATTGATGTTCCAGCCCAGCTTCTTCCCCCACAAGAATTATCACATCACCAACATGAGGTAACTAAAAGAAAAAGCAAAAAAAAAAAGAAAAAGAGAGAGAGAGGGTCTCAACCAAGAACAAACGACAGCAAGAAAAGACGGATCTCGATCCCAGCAGTCCGGTTCCGTGCAACCACGAAAGGCCGCTAGCTGATTCATGTTGGTCACTGCAACTGCAGACCTGACTGGAGATGAGGGTCTCTATCTGCAGCTTCTGTACTTTCATTGCAGAAAACCTGTCGATTTTTCGTATCGTTTATCAACAAAATGCGCGTGTTGGCTGCTAGCTCCACGCATCGGGGCGAGTCCGAAAGAGACAATTGGACATGGATTCACGCAGGGCAAGGCAGGGGTGTGTTTAGTCCCCTTGTCCCCACGGCCAGTCCAACTGAATCTCATCAGCGTCGCATCGTGGGGGAGGAGCAACCATGGGTCGGAAAGGCCCGGCGGGGGGATCAATCCTGCGCCCTTTCCAAGCATTCCATTCCAGTACAACACCAGAACCCTTGACACCCATGGCACCACTCCAGGGTCCAATGACCACCACCTTCACAGATAGCACAGTTGAATATTGGGCCATCACCACGCTGCACACACACGCGCCAGTCCGTGCTAGGATACCGGATCCGCGGGAATTATGATAATGCCAGGTTGACCACTTGGGAATATTGGCATATCATTTCGTGGGGAGATATCAAGGCAAGGAGGAACACAAACAGAAGGAGCAGTTATTAGTTTCCTTCCAAGGGACGGCGAGATTGTTATCGAAAGCCACCAGCCAGAGCAAACATGGGCAGCACCAACCAGAAACCCATCCTGATCGTGGGCTCGGGGATAAGCGGCCTCCTCCTGGCCCAGCACCTCCGCAAGTCGTCCATCCCCTTCCGCCTCTACGAGCGCGACTCGGACTTGGACACCCGCGGTCTCGGCTGGGGCCTCACCCTTCATTGGTCACTGCCCGCTGTCCGGTCTCTTCTTCCTGACGATCTGGTCTCCCGTCTCCCAGAGGCCTATGTCGACCGGTCCGCCGTGGAAGAAGGGCGGCCTTCGACGTTTCCCTTTTACGACCTCAGCACTGGTGAGCTGAAGGCCTCCACCCCAAACGCGGATGAGTCTCAGCGTATCAGAGTGAGCAGGGATAAGTTTCGACGGTTACTGGCCACTGGGTTGGATATCCAGTTCGGAAAGGGCGCTACCGGCAAGTTCGAAACGGATGAGCAGGACGGTTCGGTGAGAGTTCATTTTGAGGATGGGACAGTGTCGGAGGAGGGAAGTTTGGTTGTTGCTTGTGATGGCGGGAGTTCACGGCTGAGACAGGTGCTGTTCCCCGACAGCGAAAAGTTCAAGATTCCGGTCCGGTTGATGGGTGTCAAGGTTGAGTGCACGCCTGAAGAGATCGAGCCGCTGAGAAAGCTCGATCCGTATTTCCTCCAGGGAGCCGCGTCGGAGAATGATACGTTTGTTTACTTTAGCAGTGAGTGCCCCCTTTTTTTTTTTTGACCCTGAGAGTGGTGTCACACAAAGCTAACATCAGGCACCAAAGCACTCGATGCCCCTGGAAACGGCACAGGCAGGGACACCTACACCTGCCAGATTGTCGTCTCATGGCCTGTTCGGGACAATTTCTTCAACTCTGCCGCCCCGATCACATATCCAGAGACGAATCTTGACAGCATCAAGTTGATCAAGGCTTTTGCGTCAACATGGGCCGAGCCGTTCCGGTCCCTCGCCATGACAATCCCTGAGCAGACGACCGAGGTGAAATGCCTGGACTTGTACGACTGGCCTCCCCCAAAGGACCTTCGGACGACTGGCAAGGTTGTCCTGATGGGAGATGCTCTTCACCCGATGGCCATGTGTATGTTGCTCTTCCCACCCCTATCTCATCCACCCTAGCTGACAATAAACAGACAGAGGAGAAGGCGCCAACCACGCCATCATTGACGTCAAAGAGTTTGTCGACACTGTCATCCCCCACCTCGATGGATCCCCGACAGACATGAGGGTTGCACTTGACGGCTACGAAGACAAAGCGGTGGCGAGAACGAGACCTGCCGTACTTGCTTCGAGACAGGCCTGCCTGGATGCTCACGAATGGGAAAAGATTGGGCCGGCGAGTCCACTTCTCAGCAAGAGGGCGATGAACGTGGGGTTTGATGAGGGAACCATGAAGTTGATTGTCTAGAACAACACACTCCGCTGAGTTGGATGTCACCTCGTACATTGCATAGCACAAGTAAAACAAAAGAAAAGAAAAGAAAAGAAAAGGAAAAAATGGTGGGTGTCACAGTTGCAGTTTCTACAACACCGAAATCCAGCCTGTAAAAAAAAATCCCCAAAAAAATCCTGATATGTCACTGCTACAGTAGCAATTTTGACAACCTGGGCTTTGCTTGCGACTGACTGCTGCGTTGAATTAAGCTGTGGTTCGTGTTGACGTTGAATGTGGACTCTGTGGATACGAAACGTTTCGGAGGGGGGCAAATGAAAAAAGGGGAGGTGGAGTGGAAAAATCGCGCGGGGAGAGGCGGGAAGTGCAGTGGTGGAGTTTTTTGGTGTAAAAACAAGGATAGGGGGGCGATGTCGAATCTTGAAGAATGGCAGGGTACGAGATCGTGATTGGATCGCATGGATGAAGGTGTCAGATGTTTGTTTCGAGGGTAAATTCTTTTTTCTTTTTTTTGCAGAGTTTATGTGGTGTTTGAGGTTGTAGAAGTCGAGGTAGAGTCCTCCTTGGAAGATGACCGATAATGATATTAATGACATTGGTCAATGTTACAATCAACCTGGTGCGTTAAACAAGCAATGCTGGAGGTTTTGAAATACCCAGGTGTGTTTGAAAAACGCGCGTGGCATGTGAAACCCGGTTATGGTCGGTCCAGGATACAAAGTCACAATTTGAAGTTTTCATTGATCGGTGTGTAAAGGGTCTCTTCTGAGCCCTGTGCCATATCTTGGTTGTGTAAAAATACATCGCTCATAAGTCGAATAAAAAATACAAGTCTGTTTTTTCTGGTATCCGCAGTCCCAAAAGTCATGTCCAAAAGTTCCCAGAAGCAAAGGTTTCGCTCCCTGACGCCTACCTAGTTTTCCAACCATATCCCGCGTCGTCTCAGCGTCATCTAGATCTAGTTGATGGTTGTGACTCCACCAAAACTCGAATATCCCAAATTAGTCTCTGTCCCCACGTTGAGTGCGTCGCTCACTCTCATCGACATGGACACTGTAGGTGACACTCTTCATGATGGATCCATCGGGGCTGTCCTTGAGGATGTTCTCCTCGCTGCCCATACTATGACCGGGATGTCCTTTGGATGAGATGAAAGTGCCCTTGCGACCCAACCCACTCGAAATGTTGCTCAGTTTGTAGGCATCGCTGCCAGACTTGCCGCCGCCCAACTTGCGACCATTGCTGCCCCCGGCGCTGGGGTAACCATTGCCACTGCCACCAGAGTACTTGCTGGTGTACTCCTTGGCCTTTCGGAGGAAGATAGGCGCCAGGAAAGGGAGAGAAGAAACCATGTTGCCCACGTTGAACTCAATGACCCCCCAGACGATGAGCATGGTAGAATTACCATCGCCGTTTTGGATATTGTCGATTTGCATGTACCGGAAGACGGAGCAAAGCGTGGTAAAGAGGCCGAGCAAGAAGATGACGATGAGACCGATTTTCTTGCCCCTGCTGACCTTGAGCTGGAGGAGCACAGGGATAGGAATGATGGCGACGATGACATCAGAAATAATCGTGACGATGGCATAGGCTGTGAATGACGGTCCTGGCGCCAGGCATTTTCCGTCGACCCTGGGATCCCATGATTTGTGAACGGGGTTGCATGCAAAGATCAGCGTGAGCGAGCATCCCAAGTGGCCGGCCACGACAAAGAACATGGCGATCCAGACAACCCTTCGGTACCAGAGGTGGTTTGTGCCCTTGAAAAGTCGGAGATAACTGATCAACAAGGCCACTTTGAAGAAGCTGATGCCCATCTGATAGATGGGGCGACCAGCAAAGTTGCTGCGGCTGTAGGGAAGCAGGTTCTCTTTGGGGCGGAGAGCGATCGGTAACCCGAGGCCATATTTCGTTTCTATACGCAAGCCATACGAGTCAGTCTTGGTCTCACATGAAGCTCAAGGGGCAGTGGGAAAGCACCACGTACGGACGATGCAGAGGACCGAATAAAGCAGTCCAAACACCATGGAAATGGCTGACATCCAGTCATCGGCGGCGAGGCCATGATTTTTGTCGCGAATCCATAACCGGGCTGAGACAATAACGACGGAGAAAAACGAGAGGACGGCGCAGATGGTGACGATGGTCCTCCACTGGGAAATGGCGTCCACCTCCGGTGTTGCGTTGTCGACCCAAACCATTTTGTACGACAGCCAGTGTCTACTTGACGGCGGTTGCTTTTCCCAATGACGCTGGGGAACGAACGGGGGAAAGAACAGCGGAACGGGGGGGGGTTTGGGGAGTCTGGCGAAGTGAGGCAGACTGATCGGCAGCTCAAGCTGCTGGAATGAGGATAGCGAGAAGTGAAGGGTCCGACGGGAGATCAGCCGTGAGATTCCCCATCGAGGAGCAAGATCGATTATGTTTAAAGGTCAATCGAAAAAACCCCCTCACATCCCCATGGGCTGCCAGAAACACCCAAGGTTACACCGTCGTTGTCTTCTCGGTGCCTCTGGTTAACGGTACAGCCATCAACAACGGTCAACCGTCTCGCGACCACAAAGCATCATCTCGTCATCTCAGGGGTCAGCGTGGGAACCGTGGGAGAGCATGATAAGAACATCCGAGACGGAGAAGAAGGTTCGATGCCTCCGGAGAGTGTGTCCCTTGCATCGAAACACGCACTCCCTCCCTGTCATCCAAGTTGCGAGGGAGTCTGAGAGAGAGAGACCGCGACCAGGCCCTGCCTGCCCTTGCCCTTGCTTGAATGTCGACTGCATTGACGGCCGCTCCTGCTGACTGCAGGCTGAAGGCAATAGAAATCCCAATGGTAGCCCACCCTCCCCGGCCGAGTTCGCGTCCTGGATTCCCCTGCGAACAATATGCAGGTCGCGAAAGGTCCGTCGGTGTTTCCAGTGTATTTCTGGAGGCCAGGGTGGTGGTCTGCAGGAACTTCTCTTCTGTAGATACAGCATGGGGTGATTGGGTGTGGTTGACATAGTTTGATGGTAGCGATGTAACCTGGCAGCCGCTGTGTCGGGGTCGCAGAGGTTGCAGAGCAAATATCTCTTGCTGTGCCGTCTCGGCACTGGCTCGAGATGCAGCCGGGGAGGTGTTCCGTCCAGCAGAGAGCACCCCTCTTGGCGGTGGCGCCAGGGTAAACACCCCTTGTTCCGCTCCAGATTCCGCATACATTGACCCCCACAGGAGACACTGTGCGTGTTACTGTTGCAGCTATTTCCCATTTCGACGCCTCTATCGAATCAGCTGCATCCAGACGTCTCGTCCTGCAATGTCGGTCCCCATGTCCAATATGTTGGAGCAGCACCGGGGGGAACCAACTGCATGGCGAACATGCCGTTTTTAAAGACATCGCACCTCGCTCCAGAGTGAGAGGGAGAGAGAGCGTGCCATGTTTCATTTTCAGCGGTTGATCTTCTCTCCTTCCTGAAGAAATCCCGCCCTCACCCTTTCCTCTTCGGCACTGCACAGTGGCACCCTCTCGGTCCCGCTAGGCCGATCCCTCCCGCTTCCCCCCCTTCTTCTTGCATTCTTCCTCGAGCCTTCTGTCTCTGCCAGATTGCTCATCACTTCCCTTTCTCACCCTCTCACACACTCATCCACCATGTCGTCCTCAGAGAAGGGCAGCATCAAGGACTCCAAGAGTTCCACCAAGGACGTCAAGGAGCACGGCCCCGAGGTCGTTCGTTCTGTCGACTCGGATGCCGCCTCCAACGGTGGTGGTGTTGATCTCGCCTGGAAGTTCCTCGACCAACACAGAGACAATGCCAATGGCACCGGCGAGTACGTGGACCTCGCGGCCCTGCGAAGAAGAATCGACTTCCGCATCGTCCCCTTGATGTTCTTGTGCTATACCCTCCAGTTTCTGGACAAGGTCATTCTCAATGTACGTTTTCATGCCCCCACACGTGTTGATATTGGTGCCAGCCGCGGCCCACGACGCACGGCATCACCCCACAAGTCACCACATGCAGCCAGCTAACGACCTCAAGTACGCCAACGTAATGGGATTGCAAAAAGACCTCAATATGGGAGGGAATGACTTCAGTAACACAGCAACTTTTCTGTTTGTCGCTTTACTTTGCTTCGAGATTCCCAACAGTAAGCAGCCCCTGCATCTTGTCCTACTCACAAGGCATCACAACTACTGCATCTTTCACAACTAACAGCACGACTTTACAGTTTGGTTCCTTCAAGCCGTTCCTGCCGCAAAATGGCTCGGCCTCAATGTGATCCTCTGGGGTACCGCTACCGCCTGCGGTGCCGCGGCCACCAACTATCAGACTCTCCTTGTCTCCCGCATCTTCCTGGGTATCTTCGAGGCAACGATTGCACCAAGTTTGATGATTATCAGCAGTATGTGGTACACTAAATCCGAGTCTGCGCCGCGCTTCTCCTTCTGGTATCTTGGTCTGGGTCTCGGTCAGATCATCGGTGGTCTTGTGTCGTTTGGCTTCCAGCACATGGGTCCCGACGCTCGTCTCTCTGGATGGCGCACCATGTTTTTGACTCTCGGTCTGCTCACCGTCGTCGTCGGCTCTTGCGTCATCATCTTTCTTCCTGACACCCCTATGCAGGCTAAGTGGATGTCTGACAATGAGAAGGTTGCCCTGTTGAAGCACGTCAGTGTCAACCAGACTGGTGTTGAGAACCGCAAGTTCCGCGGAAAGGAGATCTTGGAAGCCTTGACTGATCCCCAGGTGTATCTCCTGCTCCTCGCTGTCATCTTGGTAAGCCATACCTCGCTACTGTGCTTAGGTTGCGGTGAAGAGTTGCTAACATTTTCTTAGCTCTCCGTCTCCAGCGGTGTTGTCACCACTTACTCGGCCACTCTCATCCGCAACCTTCCCGGCTATGACTCCAAGAAGGCTGCCCTTATGAACACACCTTCTGGTGTCGTGAGCATCTTCTTCACCCTGCTGGTCGGATGGGGCATCCGTTTCCAGTCCCACCGCTGGGCCTGGATTATCGTCTGCATTCTCCCAGCCATAGTGGGGGGCGGACTCATGAGTTTCTTACCCAAGGACAACACCAACGGTATCCTGGCCGGTATCTACCTCGTCAACGCCGTTGTGGCCCCCCTCGCCATCTTCTACAACTGGACTGTCGCCAACATTGCCGGTGCGACCAAGCGCGCCTTCGCTGCCGCCATCATCAGCGGGTCCTTCTCCCTCGGCAACATCATCGGCCCCCAGACCTTCCAGGCTCGTGATGCCCCCGACTACCGCCCTGCCAAGCTCGCCGTCATGGGTACCCAGGCCGGCTGCGCGCTCGTCACCTTTGTCCTCTTCCTTTACTATGTCTGGCAAAACAAGAAGCGAAATAACCGCGCCGACAACGAGAATGAGGACGCCTTCATGTCGCCCGAGGTGTGGACCCGGATGACGGACAAGGAGAACAAGGGGTTCCGCTACTCTTACTAAAAAGTTGATTTTTTGCTTTTCTCTTCTTTTACTATTTTGAGGGTGGATATAAATACATGAAGGCCACGCAATTTCTGGTTCTTTCTGGATGCCACATACACGTACACACTTTATACCTACTATTCCTGTCGTTTAGATACATTCACATGGTGATACCCGCTCTTTTGGACGAATCAGCAAAAGTATAACCACATGATGATACAGCTATGCAGCAGGCTTCTCATTTTTTTTGCTTCATGGGAAAAAAAAACACTTGAAGAAATGCAACGGTGATGACTGGCGTTCAAGATCCACTTGTGACATGCAAAAATGTAACGTAATGTGAATGCAGAGGCGAAAGCGAATAAATGGCATTGTCATAGATAGAGCCACTCCCCAGGTCTCGGAGACGGCGTGGAAAGCGCACCGGAGGTCTGGTGCCAGGGGTCATTGCAGGTTCCCCTTGCTCAAATGATTGTCGATGGATTTTCCTGATATGAACTGACGATTGACCCCGAGATTTTCAAGATGCCTGCTGAGTGAGAATCCTGATGAGCTGCTGGGATTGATCCATCCATCGCGAATCCCAACCTCTTTTCTTACCCCGCAAAGCACAGCAGACTGTTGCGGCGCGGACTGTCAGATTTCTTTGCGGGAGATACCGAGTCGGTCACACGAGAATCAGGCCGCGGTTGATGCGACCCAGGTGGGCGGGTGAGGTGAGATGGCAGTGATGATCATTACCGTATCCTGTGCTTCCAAGACTGGAACATATCCATTAAGTGCTGAATTTGCAGGAAAAAAGGATATGAATTATCAAGAGTTGCATTGGGTAAGTAAGCGGGTGATGACATTTGAAGATCGAATTCTGGGTGTGGCTGAAAAAGAACCATTGAAGAAGACGGGAATTTCCAGGTTTTTTCTTTTGGCAGGCAAAGGTTTCATGTGGGAAAAAGGAGATTGGCATGCAATGGTAAGCGCAGTGCAGAATCTGCTTTTAACAAATCTGGTTGTGTGCTGTCTGTCTCTGCAGTGAGGGTACACCTCCTGAAACCATGCGAGGAGGTCGATGGATGGTCAACCGACCGAGAACCTAGACTAAAGACCAAAATGGGATGGAGGGGAATGGCCGGCAGATCACCTTTGGCTCCGTGTGCTATTTTCTTGGCCACCATGACGCTCGAGTGGTGTGCAGCGGGAAAAGGATGATCTTTCCTTGGGAAAGCGCATTCACTCCGGAAGATCACCGAGGCTTTGGGGACAGATCCTGTCATTACGGGTGAAGAGCTTTGGAGTGCTGCAGCAGACGGAGCCGATGAGTAGGCGAGGTCTAGTTGAAGACTTCTACGAATTGGAGGGGCGGGATGAGAAAAATAAGCGAGCGACTCGGTGAACAAGCGACCGAACCAGGACTTGAGGACCACTGTTCACTGATTGATGGAAGGGAAGGACCGGTATGCAGGTCCTATGCTACAGGTGCACCTTTCTCCTGTCAATACGACACTATGAGGCGAAACTCTGGCAGAAGCGCGTCTAGGGGTGTATTGTCTTGCCTGCCGGTGAACTGAGTCGGGCCGACGATCCCGCTTCAAAAGATATTCTTGGTGTATGATATATGCATCCGTTTGATGTGGTTGTAGTTGAAGTCTAGAAAATCTGAAACGTTCGGCACAATAAAGCCATTAAGTTGGAGAAATGCTGATGGGAAATGCTGAAAGCCTTAGACCATCTTTCAAGGGCTATTGTATGACTAAAAGTCTATTTGACATCCCAGTGGGTTCTCAAGCATCTTTAAGCCTTTTGATTCATAGTAATTGTCTCTATTATTTTACTGTTACACCTGACGTGTCGTTATTTCTGATCTGTTAGTGGTACGTTGAACAGTGATAGTGTAATAATAACAAGGATTTCAAAGCAAGTGTCAGGGCTTTGTGGAATATCAAAAGCTTGTTTGGATAACCTGTAATGAAGATCTACGATGTTTGCCTTGAAGAAGGGATGATATAGCACGTCGTGGATAAACTACCTGGTAATTGGTACTGCAAATGAGTAATATGCACCCAGACTGTCATTTCCAGGGAAATCTAATGCAGATTTCGGAAGACATACTGCCAAAAACTGAGGAAGATTTCTCTCCCTATCTTCTACATTCACACCCCTCAGTCTTCCAATGAACCTGAAGCATATAAGCGCCGACAGAAAATAAAAATCGAAAATAAAACGGGCGGTAAAAAATATAGGTACTTCGGTACATCGAGCTCGTATTTTCAGGCTCTCAGACGGAATAATTATGAAGCATAGCTCTTTATATATCTGGACACTTACCACTCCGATCTTTAAAGCCGAGATCATGATCATCTGTGTGCCATCGCAAGGAATGCGTTTTGCTAAGGATTCAGCTGAACGACTGGATCACGCTTGGATGTCCGTACGCGTTTGTGCTGGACTTGGCTCATTACTGCGGCACAGCCCAGGCCCTCACCTCAGGTATATAGTTGTTTGCTCCCTCTAGCCCAGCCACAAATCCCAGGTTTTGGAATCTTTGATATCAAGGCAATATACTATAATCCTGTAAGATCTGGACGGCTTTTGGGATATCGGTGGTAGGGGGCTGAGAAAGAATCTGAAAGTATGAAACAATGACACAAATGATAGTAACTGGAATAATAAGGCCCCAAAGGACCGTCTCCGACCTCATGGTCTTGGTATCTGCAGCACCAACAGCCGCCAACAATGTTGGCTGGTCTTTGATGTAGTTGAACGTCTCGGTGTGAAGCTGCTTATCAATGAAGCAGGCCGCTGGTAAGAAAAGGAGACTGCTGTTTCGCTCGTGGACGGGAGGAGGTCGATATTCAGCCGTGTACTCTGCGTCAGCAAAGACGCCATACCGGTCACTCAAAATCAGGGTTCCACTAGTCCCCATCAGCACAGCCAGTGCCGCAACGCGGAAAAATGCTGTGGCGGGGTTCTTCCAGAAGTTCCGGAGAAGGGAGATGGATATGAGACAGCTCCAGCAGGATATGAGACAGCTCCAGCAGGAGATGAGAACTAGGTGAAGGCCGATGTTGACATGGTATCGGGAGGTGGTGCAGAGGCCCGAAATGGCAAAGTTGATCATTTGGGCGACGCTTAGAAGGAGTTGGGAGTCGGAGATGGAGAGGAGAGCAGCCTCAAAGAGGTCGTACAAAATCTCGGATTTCGTTCGGGGTCTCGGGGAGGCACGAGTTTTGGTGGTGGCAGTGTCGGGAATGTTGACCTCACTTGTGTGGGGAGATGGTTCTTGTTTTTGAGGACTGGGAGTGCGTGGTGGTGGCGGGGTGGATGATCTTGAGGGTTCGAAGGTTGCTGTAGGGGTGTAGGGTGTGAAAGACGGAGGGGTGGATGGCCTTGCGGGCTGGGATGTCGGTGTAGGGGTGTAGGGCGTGAATGAGTTTGGCTGAGCTGGGGAGGCTGGGTGTGAATAGAATGCTGGGAGTGGTGCTACAGAAGAATACTTCATAGTCATGCTACCGTCATGGTGGCCCTGGTCGGCAATGAAACTCGCAACGTTTACAGAGGCAGAGGGAACCGCCTGGTGCTGGGCCTGGGTATCTCGCCGTGAATGCACAGGCAACTGGTTTGATGCCGGTCTTCTGTGAGTCTGTCTACCGGAAGTAACGTGGCTCCACGCCTTTTTGACAGGTGTGGTAATTGGCCTCCAAGAAACCGTTTCACTAGTAGTATGTTCATGTCAGCAAACTGAGGTATATTGACCAAGTACGAGAAAAGCACAAACTAACCGATCCAATTTCTCGTTGTAAAGAAACTCAATCCGGAACAAGATAATTAGAAAACACAATCCCAGAATGGCAATGTTGGGCCCCCAGAACGCCCACAGCACCTGTGACCAGCAGTTGTAAGCGATATCGTTCAGCTAGCTCATACACTCAAGCGTGAAGCCAGATTATGCCAACTTACACCTGTTCCAGCAATATCTGGATCGGCTTCCAATAGATGAGTTTTATTGACCGCACCAAGCTCAAAGACTGCTGGGGAAGAGGTAGTAGTATTGGGATCAAAGACAATATTACAGTCGCCGAAAACCGCCACCAACTGCATCTTCAACCGCAGGACCGCTACTAACTCAATTTAGGGAACCGGAATTTCCAGCAGGAACAAATACAGAATGGTTTTCTGATCAGCTGATCTGAAACCCTCAGTAAAATCCTTTAAAGTCCATTATTCCAATACTTTGACTTCTTGTTCATTGCGGCCTTTTCCTCAACACTGGTCTCGAATCAGTATCAACACGTCCCTAGGTATCGAAAGATAATCACAATGACAGTCCGTCCCTAGTGTCATCCTTCTACGACCCTGGTAATATCTGTTGTTGGCTCCTCACCCTCGCCTCTGTCTTCGTAACCTGGACACTAACATCAAGTCCCGACGTCATGAAACAATCACCCTCGGCTTCCTCGCCACTCTCCCTATCCCAACGGTTGCAACAGGACACCTATTCTATTGACTCACTTCCCATTTTAACCAATCTAAATGAGGCCCAGATGCATCAACCACCGACGGCACCAGTCTATTTAGAAGTTCGTCCCCAACAGTCATACGATATGCTGCGGCAGTGGAGGCCCCACTAAGGGTAATAGAGATTCGTGCGATGAAAAAAGACTTGATAAACTGTCCGTTAAAGGTAACAATCCGGTGCCTCAATAAGAATAGAAAGTAGGTTGGATGACCAGGAAATGGCCCACCCACAGAGGTGGCCCACATTGGCCTGAACTTACCAGTGCCATTTTCCACACTAAACCCTCAACAACCCTGGACCTCCGAAAGGCCCCCCCAACTTTATATTCCACCCCCAGAGGTCAAAAATGGACCATTTCTTTTTCTTTTTTTTGCTTCAGGTACCCATAAATGGCCAAATATACCGAGGAAGATCTCGCAAATGCCGAACAAGACATTCTTACTTGTCACGGCACTGGCCTGACACTAGCCTGGCACTGGCAGACTGGAGGAGAAGTGTGGTAAAGGCCCTGCAGGCAAACAGCCGTTGTGATATTTTTCCTCTTTTCTTCTTTACCTTAGTATTTCAATCAATTGGTTGGTATAACTGTTGCCTTGTCTCAGACTTTACCACCCAGGCCGTGACATTACTGGTATGAGCCAGCGCCAAGCGTCCGACAAGCACGGGGTTCCACGTTCTACACTGAGGCACCGTATCTTAGGAACCCAGGTTTACAAACAGGCCTATGAAAATCAACAGCGGCTTACTTAAGGCTAAAAAAACCTTATCGTTTAATAGATCCTTCGTTAAGAAAGCCTTAGTGTGACGAACCCCTGTACAGAACCTCTGAAAGGGATACTGGTTGAAGGTAACTTCTGACAATTGGTTCGGTGCAGCTAAACAGTGCACAACAAGATGTCTCAATGTAAACACAAGATACCGTGATGTTACGCCCCAAGCGTAATACCCCTGTACAGGAACCACTGGGTGGTACCCGAGGTGCTGGGCACCTCAGCCAATCATTGGGCCAGGATGGAAAGACCCACCAGCCCCCGTGCAACCAATTAGGAGTTGCTCAGTCTGCTCAGTCTGCTCAGTGCGCCAAGACCACTGAGCACACTGAGCACACTGAGCCACCTAAGCAAGGTACAAAGATACTTCAGAAATATATATAGATAGTTTAATATAAATAGGGGGAGCGCCGGGCGCTCCCCGTGTCGAGGAATCTGATTCCTCATGCAAGCAATTCAAGTTCATTTGTCTACAATCTACTCTCAGTAGCTCTTTGTTAGAACAACCTGTTGTTGACAGTGAACCCGTGTCTGAGACGCTTGTCACAACCTTCGATCATCCTGTCATATTCACCTCTGGCGTACTGCCTTGCAGTCTGTATCCATTCCTGGTGCAGGTTGTAACATAAAGTTCGATAGATTATTTTAATTAGCTTTAAATTAAGATAATGGAAACTCTTTTTAAAACTTCAGGCATAATAAAAACCCTTCTCAAAACTTCAGGCATAATAAAAACAAACCATAAATTGAATCGAACTTACTTCTCTAATCTAAACGTTGCCCTCGGAAGGAGAAAAAATAATGAAAAACTGCCAGCTTTTTATACGTTATTTGTATATTAAGTACCGTTTGTCTCTTCGTTTTAACCCAGCCTTCAAGACACTCTTGAACGATACAACCACCTCTAGTGGGATGGCGGAGAAATCAGGTGGGGGTGTGAGATAGGACAAGGTTGGCGAAGTAGATGGGACCCCTCCAAATCCTCCATAGCCAGCTTTCGGTACGCCCAGCCTTATTCTTTAATCGAGTTAATGCAAGTGCTTCGTTTTAGTACCCAAGGGGGGATGCTTAGGGAGGTCGCACGTCGTTGAAGGCTTATTGTATCGCGTCGACGGGCGTTGGAGGTGAGCGTTGGTAATTGCGGCCGAAGCTCGCCGATTGAGTCACTGGAGAGTATCGAACCGACGAGAGAGGGGTCGTTCAAGCGTATTTTTAGGAACACAAGTGACAATTAACATTAGAATTAGCAACTCAAAACGTAGAATTTGGTAAATAGAAGTGAAATTTCTCCTCCTCGTTACAATGTGGCGTTCTGGCGCCCCTTTCCCAGCGCTCGGCAACTGTGTCGCAAACCTCAAATCTCGACCTGCTTTGGCGGTTTGGTGGGGCACCACAGCTGTCAGAAGCTTCACGTGATGCGGGACAGCCCTCCTTAAACTGACTCCGCACTCATTACTCCAAAAGCTTCTTCTGTTTCTTTAGCGACGGCAACGGGGTGACCATCACCAGCATCATGAATGTCTCGTCTAGCAGATGGTCTTTAGGTTTCGCCGGTCCTTTAACCCTTGGAAAATTTGTTTATATTAGCGTCCTTTCGATGTTGTTTACTAGCGTGACGCGCTCTTCCAGTTCCTCCAGCGCCATGATTGGCTCGACGTTGCCAGGGTGGTTTCTTTGTCGAAGTGCTGCTTTGGGGGTTTGTATATATGTGGTGTGTCGGGAAAGGCTATCTTTTGGTGGATGGGAGATATTTATCAGGACTCAGGACTCTTTCCATTTAATGAAAAGCTTGCTCTAAACGCTAAGCTTAAGTCTTACGCCACATCATCAGCGTAAGGCATTTAACTCATGCTTTATGACACATAAGACAAGTTCTTTGACGCCCGACTTACCTAAGCCGCAAATGCTACTCACCGACGCCACTTTAGACTTCGAAGTTAATCTCCAGCAAGTCTCTAAACTCCCACACTTAACTACAGTCACTTGTCCACTTGGGCATCTAACTGACTCCCTCTCAGCCCGGTCTCATCCCTCATCGGCGCCGGGGTTAGTCTTCCGCCAGCGGCCAAACTTGATCAACCTGCGACAAATGGTTGTAGCTCACTCTCATCCACTGAGGGGACTACCACTACATCAAGTTGATAAGGCATCATCTTTCCTGTATCCGAGATGCTGAGCTAACCTACAGTCCATCGCCTTGGGTGGGGCCCTGAGCTGGGTGAGCAAGGCCCTGAGCAGGGTGAGCAAACTTGAGGTTAATCACACCTGTCACATCGAAATGAATCTTAGATTAAGCATAGAACGCACACTGTGTTCTTGAACATGTACTAAGTATCCATCCGTCATCCCGCCGATTAGCCTTGTTGTGTGAGCGTGTTGGTTTGTACATCTGGCGTGTATTTTCCCGCTCCATAACCCGATGGACTCCAGCCCTCGCCTTCTTGGAGCTATTTAAATACGTAAAAAAGTTTGTATTCAGCCTATTCCGCCTGCGGGCTTATCCTCCCCCCAACTCTCACTCAGTGTCATCCGAATAGAACACGAGCGTTCTCAATTCAATACTCTCCCTCTCAGGCTCATCCTCATGCTCCTTGTTCACAAAGGCCGTATGCGGCGCCCTCCGAGCTACGCTCCCGTCCGTCTTGGAGTCAAAACACTTGATCAACAACACTTCGTCGGTCGCCTGTCTATACAGATAATACCACATGTGCCCCGGATTCGCTCTCACAGAAAATGTCTCTCCATCCGTACTATCTACCTTGTGCTTCGGATTTGCTGCTGCCCCCATCACGGAATGAATCGGTTCACTCGTCGTCATTGCCGTCACAACATCTGGGGGAAAAAGCAATTTGATTGGAACCAAGTCTGATTCTGGAACAGAGCCAGCGTCTGCGACACAAAGAGGGTCTTTCAAGATATTCTTGATAGGCCGCCAGACATTGATGATTTGGTACCGTCCTTTGAGCAGAGCAGCAAGCCTGGCTTCGTTATCACGGAAATAATGAGAGACGCGCCTGTGGGCCCCGACATATGATACGTCGATGTGGACTCGGTGAACAGGACCGCGGTGGCGGTGGGCCTTGCTGAGAGGACCGCCGCGGATGGTGTGGTTGAAGATGAAGACTTTGGAAGCCCCAGTGCTGATTTACCCGACATCTATAAGTATATATCTATCTAAACTTCTCTATATAGAATGTTGACTTACACTTTCTTCAGTAGTTCTTCTGTTTCGGGGTAGTAGATGTTTCGAACATGCTCGTCATCGAGAAAACACTTTTCCTTGCTATCATGGCCAACGATTTGGAATCCCTGAACATCTAAAGTGTATTGAGACTCGTTACCACGGATGTCATGGATGACGCTTTTTTGCGGCTCGAATTTACTGGCGTATGTTTCTGCTCCGCTATCGACCGTCCTCTGTATGGCGGCTGAGTCATCGTCATTATCTTTGAAGTAATTCAAGATGGTGGTGACGTCGTGGGGTTTGACCTCCTCGGATTGTTCAGTTGGCCCGTGTGTCCCCGAGAGCTTTGGAGTATGGGGCGCTTGTGAGGACGCGTATGACATTTTGGAAGCTTTTGGAAAACGATGTAAATGAAGAAAGGAACGGATGTCACGGGCGCGGGCAACTACGGGCGGGCAGGGTGTTGTATATGAATGGAGGGGAGGAATGAACACCAGTCCACGTGGGAGCAATGTGGTTTCAGCCGACATCCTCTTGGCATTCCGTCTATGCGGGGGGGAGTACTTGTACTGTGATAGGTTTCTGGGCTGGGGAGCAAATATTCATGTCAATTCCGCCGGCTCGCTTAAGACGATCCGTAACGTACTATCAATTATTTCTAGAACCCAAGATGATCCAACACGGCTACAAGCTGCTCTTCACCCATACGTCTCAAAGCCATTCTCTGGCCCTCATCCGTATTCATCCTCAGAAAGTCAGTATTGATCAATCTCCAGGGTGTCAGGGATCCCAAGAGCTCGTCTACATCAGCAAGTTTGTCGATGCCCTGAATGGTGCTAGGCCGCTTGACATTTATTCTCTGCAGCTCATTCTCCCACGCCTGCGCAAGTTCCCAATCAACCCCTGGACCATTGGGAGTCTCTCTAGGTGTTGGAAGAGGTGAAGGAAACTTTCCGGTCAGCTTGGCTCTCCGAAGTTCTAACAACTCTTGTCCCTCTGGGTCTGAGTCGGCGATCCAGCCAGTAAATCGACCGCCGTTGGGACTAAAAGAGCGGAAGAACTCGTAGGCAGGGTGTAGAATAGTGCTGAAGTCGTAGTCGAGGAGCGCTGTGACTAGGCCTGTCGCAGGGTCGTGGAGGAGATTGTCCGAGGCTTTTACCTTCAGGTTAGCGCTAGGGAGGTTACATTGAACAAAAGACTTACTGAAATCTGCGTGTATAATAGCCCTGTCATGGCTAGATGTCAGGTCAGAGAATTGTGCTGATAAGCCACGCTCGATGAAATCATCGACACGGTCTCTGATGTCGTTCGGCCGCCATCCCTTTAGATACGGGTTTTTATCTGCCTTGTCGAGTGCGGCTTTGAGTCGGCCTCGGTAGGAATTTTCGAGGGAAGACCATGGCCCGGCACCGACGCTAGGCATAGGCGCGCTGACAATGGCACCGTTGCTGTCAAAAGTCAACCCTCCCCAGCCCTGAATGCTCTTGGGAAGCGGATAGTCTTGTAGTGCCTTCAGAATAGCCGCCATCTGCCTCAGAACCGCGGTTTTTTGTTCCAGGGACGCGGTTGGGCTAAACACGTTATCAAGCGGTACTCCGGGCATCAAGTCCTGCAAGATCCAGCCCAAACGCCCTTGACTAGCACCACCCCAGCCGAAGACGCGGGGGACGATGTTGGGCTTGATGTGGCGAAGAGCCGCCGAGGCGAGGGTAAGGATAGCGACTTCATTCTGCACGCGGGTTTCTTGGTACATGCCCTCAGCATCAGCGTTGCTGAGGCGCATTATAAACGCCCTAGCACCTGCAGGAATGGGGACGCATCCCGGCAGCTCAACACCGTCATCGGATATGTCGACGGGAACCTCGAGGCGGTAGACGAAGTTGTTGTATTTGAAGGGGAAGTCGGCTTCGTATTGAATCGGTGTGATCTTGGTCTCCGCTATGTTCTGCGATTTCACCAATTATTAGATAGGTATGTGGAGACTGGACTCCACCTTGGACTCTCCATATTGTCAAGTTCGATTGCAGCCTTGTGAAGTGCTTACCTCGTTAGAAAGACCAAAGTGATCTCCCAAAAGTCCCCGAATGTAGTCAAGGCGCGCCTGGTAGTTGGCGTGGTTGTGAGAAGGGGCCGTCATGCTTGCGAATTGCTGCGTTGAGAATATTGCGTGTTTTTCGTTTTGTTGCTTTTCGTTCGATGTTTGGAGTTGGAGCACTGGCACTGGCTTATTGAGTCGGCGCGTTGCAGGGGTCAGATACGTGCACACAGTATTTGTGCACTGTATGTACAAGATCAAAACCACTCATTCGTACTGTTTGATGACTAAACCTGGCTGAAGTGGGCTTTTTTGAGTTGGCTGGTGGCCGCCTCGTACCACAGAAAACACCGGAAAAGCTCAACAATTGTCAGTGCTCGTATTTACTGAAAACAGAGATTGGCGCTCTTAGGCCATATCTCACCCCGGTGACTCATTCGTACTGTACATATGCAATAATCCAATCAACCCCAATTTTTTAGGAGAATTGAATTGATTGCCAGGATTTATTGGATTAGGAAATTGTCCCATTACCAGCGCTGGTCCGATCCTAATTTAGAGAGCGCCCCGCCGTCCGAATTTGGCCTCATACACCGGCTACAACGTCGCCTTCAAATAAATACATTACATCTCCTTTTTCGCTATGTTATATCACGATCTAACGAGTCTGGCGCCTACCAAGATCGCTCTCCAGGCCTCGACGGTCCCTGTTGATGGAGTAATTACCATCTGAGTTGCGGTCATGGTGCCAAGAAAAGAACGAGATTCGGGGTGTTGTGCTGTTCCCCCACAGACGAGCGGCAGGGTAGATGACCGGTTAATACACCCCGCAGGTGGCAACGCATTGCAAAATGCGGGCTCATATTATCACGCCGCGGGTGTAGGCCGTGTGGTTGACAACGTCGGTAGATGATGGTGCATAATCTCGTAGGTACCCACCGAGGTAGTCAAGGACGGATCCCAGCACATGTTTGGATTGTCCCATCCCACCTTCGCTTCTGTCCAGTATCGAGTATCGACAACATCATTTTGATATTGGTGAGAATGGACGACCGTCATCTACAAGAGTTTGATAAGGGGATGCCCTCATCTAAGCGATCGAGGAGCAGCATTGTGTATCTACATGTGTTTCTTTTCTCCACTGCAATCTTCCTCAATATCTGGGCTTTACGTCAGCCAGGCCTCCGTTCGCCGCAGTTCTTGGGGTCGTGCGATGGCGATCGTCAAACGAGGCTCATAGGGAGTTGTCAGTAATCCGCTTCTGCTCTACGTACTTCGACACATGTACCCATGCTAATCAAGGCCAAAGACCCTTTGGAACAATTAGCGACGGTCAGCCCCGTGAAGTTCGATGCTGAGCTTTTCGCTGCCTCCGTTTATAAAGGGGAGCCGCGCAAAGAACTCGATGAAGCTTGGAACAAATTAGTTGATCGTATGTATCTCACGGTGTTTTTTATTTACCGAAGTTGACCAACGATATATCCAAAACAGATCCCATGATTCTTGTCGACAACAAAACTCTGCAGGATTTTGATCCGACAACAAAGCTCACCAAGGGCGTGAACAATCACTATTATGCCACTGTTGAGGTTTTCCATCATCTCCACTGTTTGGACATCACTCGAAAGTACATTTGGAGAGACTATTATAAACACGTTGATACTTTCCAAAACCCCCCCGAGATTGTGTGGAAGCATGTCGGTAAGTTAACAAAAATCACTGCAACTCAATCCAAATGTTAGGTACATTACGCTAATACCACAAGATCACTGTATTGACTTGCTACGGCAGGTGCTGATGTGCAACAGTGGCACCGATCTCTTGTTCTACACTGATCTTGGCGATCAGCAACCTGAAGCTCGTGTCTCGACAAGCCACATGTGCAGAAATTTCTCACAAATATCGGAGTGGGTATGGAAGCATGATTCTGAACTTGGTAAGTATGCAGAAGACTAAGGTTTCAGGAGTTCAAGCAAACACTTTCGAGTTTAGCCAATGGCATGTTCACAGACAAATAAATTTACCTCACTCCAGCCTGGTGGCTATCAAGGGGAGTCAATGAGAAATATAGATGAGACAATGGATATTGAAATACCTAGGCAATGGAATAAAACTTGGCACATATGATACTTGAACTAGAAACGCGTGTGTTGTTTCTACCAACAGACAGCAAAGCTCGCAATCAAACCCCGTTCAAGGAGAATATGTGTAAGTTCCCCAACCTAGAGGATCGTTGGTGACTAGCGTATTTTTGTCCAGTTCCGTTGTCAGCCGTCTATTCCATGCCCATTGCTGAACCTTGGCAAAATTCCGACAAGTGTGCACGACCTCGGCGACAATCTTCATGGGAGAGGAGGAAGTTTGACGGGCAAATGTTGTTGGCGTTATGTCACTGCTGCACTATATTTGGTTAGCAATAGCTCTTGTTAGCCTGCTGAGTATCACATGTTTTGTTCAAGACAGGATAGGAAGTGGTGAGGAGACTGTACCATTACGCTCTGTCGGAGCATATCAAGACAGTGATCGAGATGTTCTATGCCCAGCAGCTCGTCCACGTTTGTCATATCGACAGCACCATATAAGCCTTTCCGGATCAGATTCTGAGAATGACGCTCTGTGTTACTCTTTGGTTGACCATGCAAAAATAATGTAGGCCGGGACAATCTTACCAAACAATGAAGTTGATGGAACACACTCAGTTGGACAACATATCCACCCTCTCGACCTGGAATCGGGAGCGTTTTGTTGTCCATTGGCCGGGCTTCGTCTGCGCTAATCCTCGAGATCCCGACTTTAAACGAGCCAGTTCTCAGCATAACATCAGGAAGCAAAGCGTTTTCAGCACGCAACTTACAGTCATAGAGACCAGCCCAGAGCTTGTTGTTCTCCTCCGAAGGTGGCCCCTGGAATGGTGATTGTTCAATACCAAAACCGCTGGAGAAAACAACCCGTTCATGGCTAATGGCAGGTAAAGCCGGAGCTATTCCATTCATTAATCAGCCATAGCTGAATCATGTAAGGTGAGGCAGCACTTACAGTAAGTCAATATCCGGTCCCGTGCAGTGTTTGAGAGCAAGACTTTTCCCAACAAAAAGAAGTTCAAAACTATCGAGACGAGAAATACTATGGTGGCTGTGGCTGGTCGGCGAAGAGAATGTGGCAAAGGTTTATGATGATGAGCTGCAGAGCCATTTCGGGTTGCCGTGTCGCCTGACGTGCTGTCTGGGCCTATGTTTCTGAGGCGAACATATTGTCTGCTTTGGAACATGATTTCTCCTTGAGGTATCTCTCACTGTCTCGTGGCGCATGGAAATTTCTTGCCCCTTTGCATCCGTGGATTGGGAGTAGAGATGTACTGGCTGGGCCTTGGCTGGGGGAAGCGGCGGGATGGGATGGGAGGGGTGGCAAACGGAAGGGCGAGACGAGGATCCGGACGAGGAGGGGCAAATGGAGGAGGGGGAAAGGGAGGGGAGGACTTGGCAAACCCGAGCATCTGGTACACCCGAATAACCGGGCTTTAGGCATCAGCATGGTAGTTATAGTAGGGGCAGCATAAGGAGGGCGGCACGGGGAGTAGATGGGAGGTTCCGAGACCAGAGGGGGTGGGGGGCAGTACGTGGAAAGGGAAGTTAGACTTGGCAAACCCGAGCATCTGGTATACCCGAAGAACCGGACCTTAGGCGGTCAGCATGATAAGAGGAATTGCAGGGGCCAAGACTATTGCTCTTTATATTACTTGACCAGGTGGGGGTTTGACATCGTCACTGCCTAGCTCTAGCGATATGAGTAAGTAGCTAAGTCAAAGTAGCGAAACCATCTTGATATTACCTATCCCACGCATCATCATTACCTGCATACATAGTATTGCATTCTGGGATACTGCGGTCGGCAGTTAAGTTGCCGTTCAACTTTCACACTCGCTTTCCCATTACATATACGCCCATTTTGGGACACAGGGTTCCCTCTCTTTGTTTCTAAGTGCTTGCTTGCTTCTCACTGTGCACTGCTACCGACGCTGCCCAACAATGAGGGGCTTCATCTTTGCCACAGCCTTCACCGGCGTAGCCTCCATGGCTATAGCTCCGTCTATGAGTTCTGAGGTAATGATTCGGCATCCAGTCTTTGAAGAAAAGTCTATTTACTAGCGTTCTGCCGCCAGAAACTCGACATCGACACGCGAGAGCCAGGTCTTCCCCCGACCGTCGACGCTTCGGCCACTAGGTCGGCCTGGGTATCTTCCTATTCCTATGGCAAAAAGAAGTTCGAATGGGAGCACCCGAATCACTGGGTATGCTATATTGGTTTTGGCTCCTGAGTCTCATTGTTTCTGACGTTCAATCAGCTTCCCTCGGGGCCCGGATACCTCGACCTTGACTCCCTTGAGAAAGGATACCGCGCACACCTTATGGCCATGGATAGTTCAGCTTCTTGGCTACACACGAGCGTGGTTGGGGTCAAGCGCTTCTTTGGCATGTGAGATACATGTAGCGCATGGAAGTCTGAGGAGCCAATGAGTTACCCGTGTTGCACTTTCATTTTTTGGTGTTCATGTGTCTACTCGAGTAACATTTGCGGTATTTGCGCACAGCTATCCATTCCTTTTCAAAGCTTCAGACATGTCTCTCAGAAATACCTACCTAGCTAGCGAGGTGGTTCATAAAGTAATTCGCATTCACTGAATGCAGAATTGAGTCCTGTCTCTCGTGCTTAGATGCAAACAACACTGAAGAAAACTGCGTACCTAATCAATCTACACAAAAATAATCTATTGACTTCCTGCCTGTAGATATCTACGTTACTTTTGGTTCCCTACTTGGTAGATCAAGAAGTACAATGAGGGGCTAAAAGCTGCCAAGTTCCGGCTAAGATCTTCAGCATATATTACAAGTACCTTACCCTTCCCTTCCAGCTGCTTTCTTTCTCCCTCAATTAACCCCTCCCAACGTTCCCCCTATCTGGCCCCCATATACCCAATCACGAGCATCATTGCCCTCGTCGCCACCACGATGTCTTCAGGTATGTCCGAAGACAAGATTTCCTTTGCAGGGACAAGCGAAGACTCCGACTCGGATCATGGTTCAGAGCTACTCCCCAAGGTCCGACAACGTCGTTCCCCAGGACAAACATTGTTGCCATCAATACTCATCAAGTCGCTTTTCTTTCTGCTAGGCTTGATTCTTGGCATAACAATAGCCACTATTGTCAGCCAACAAATCCAGCAAGGAATAGAGATGGATCTGGACCGGCAATGTGCGATGCGCACATCGCAGTACTGTAAGTCAACTTTCATCTATAAATTAAGAAGTTCAACTGCTGCTGCTGCGTGTTATGCATTTTTGACTCTTGGATAAGTATACTGATGGCAATGAACTAAACTTAGCGCCCGTGCTTAACGAAGTTGATCACGCGTACTCAATCACGTCCTTTAATGGTTCATTTATGAAAGAAGTGGTATATCGTCTCCAAGGGTCGCCCAGAGTGGACGCGGCATGGGAGGCTTTGGGTATTGAGTGTTAGTTATTATTGTTAATGGGAGATGGGTTACGCAAGGCTAACAGGGAAATAGATAGAGCCTCCATCATCCCAGAGAATGAAGGGATTGCGAGCGGGCTCACAAAGCACCACGTTCAACGAGCAAAAAAATATGGAGGTGGTTTCTTCGTGAATGTGGAAGGCCTACACCACTTACATTGCCTGGTACGTTATGTTTGGATACTTGTTACCAGCATCTAACCAAAGCACTTGGGATTTAGAATTTGGTTCGCAAGTCCCTTTACTTCAACTACAATTATTATAAGGCTATAGGCGATGACGCGTTTGACCTCGAAGAAAATATCTTTAAAAGTCACCTTAGTAAGTTGGCCTGTACAAGTGCACCTCATCCTATATTTTCAGAGTACTAAGACGTATTGTGTGTCTATTAGCACATTGCTTAGATATCGTTCGACAAGTGCTCATGTGCAATGTGGATAATGGGGTGCTTGGGCAAGTATGGACTCATCAGCCAAATACGAAGCAACCTCAGGCATTCCCCGATTTCAACACCCGACACAAATGCAAAAATTATGAGGCAGTTCGTGTATGGGCTGAGGCACATCAGGTGCCACCTGATGAGGAACTTCCTGCCGACTATATTGCTCCTTGGGATACGGATGATGTCATCCCATACATCCCTTGAATATTCAGGCTGCACGGCTTGGGAAGGATCAGAATCAAATGCCTTCGTTGCCAGTGTTAGGTTGATGGATTTAACCTCAGTCGGTGATAAAGTACCCAGATTCTGTTTGCTAGACCTTCATGAATGGATGTATTGCCTCTGTATCTGCTCAAATCCCGCTCTTTCCGAGGCGCTGCAAAGCATGCTGTAGATATTAACCAGAATTCTTTAGCACCGGGAAAAGCTCTTGTTACTGTCGCTAGTGTTATGTACAATATGATATATAACCAATTTCACAAAAATCACCCCAGCAGTAAAGCGCTTATCTCGTCAACTATCGGCAAGGGCACCACGGCCGTCTTCAATAGTGGCGTCTACAACCACTAACACCGTCCATAATCTCCTATCGTCAGTACGCTTAGCCGTCCTCTGTAGAGGCTGTAAGGTTGAAATCTGGAAGCAAGTGAAGGCCCATAACAACATATCCTCAGCCGGCACCTTTCCAATCAACGAATAATAGGGGGTTGGCGTCATGTCACAATAAGACCGTGACCACCTCAGTTTCCTCTGCCTCATTGTAGAGGACCTCGAGCTGGAAGACGGCGATAGCGCAGTCCGTCACTGGCACAGCATAGCTACGACCAGCATCTCGGTTACCCTTGTCACTCCCGGGCGTTCTTTATGTACCAAACAGACGACTCCATCATATCTCAGGAGCGTATAAGCGCAAGTCAAGTAATGGTATTCCATTACTAGGTTGGATGACCAGGAAATGGCCCACCCACGAATATGGACCACCACCCCCACACCAGCCACACAACCTTAATGAGATTACCCCTGAATGCTTATACTCCCCACAACAAGACCAATATTGGGTCAATTTCTATGGAAGTTATACCAAAATGTAGCTCAATCACTGTTAGAGTCAGACATTTTGTCTGCTTCCCTCTTACGCCGAGTTTGAACCCGATAATGTGTGCTACGCCGCACAGGCTCGGCTGGCTCCGGCTGCTCCATATCCTCCTTGGGCACCACTTTTTCCTCCACCACCCTCCCTTCAATACGAGCCTCTTCCAGGTCACAAAGCCTTACAAACTTAGAATTCGAATCTTCTCTATTTAAACTTGCGCCTTTTCTTTGCGTCCTGGACTTTGTGGGCGTTTTGTTGGTGCCTTGCCGCATCAGCTTTATGGATGGATGCCTCAGATCTCAGTATAAATATTAGTACTAGTGAGAGTCCTTACCGCAAGCCGTTTTCCGGCCGGCGTATAGTTCTTAAGTAGGTCCCTGACCTCCTTAGCTACCTGGGAGTCTTCCACGGTATAGAAAGTAAGTGTTTTTAAAGAGAGATCTAATGGTACTTGTCACGAAGTGGCCAAACGAGAGACAATGCTGCAAAGCTACACTCAATTGACGAAATACTAAGCTAAAGAAGAGAAAAAGGAAAGGAAGGCTTTGCCTGGCCTGGCCTGCAAGGAATTTAAGGTGCAAGGCTGCAAGGCTCGGTGGGGCAGGGCAGGTGAATGATAAGATAAGGTCAGGGTGCTGTTACAACCTGCACCAGGAATGGATACAGACTGCAAGGCAGTACGCCAGAGGTGAATATGACAGGATGATCGAAGGTTGTGACAAGCGTCTCAGACACGGGTTCACTGTCAACAACAGGTTGTTCTAACAAAGAGCTACTGAGAGTAGATTGTAGACAAATGAACTTGAATTGCTTGCATGAGGA